TTCAACATCACATTAGAACACAACAATTCCAGGAATTATTAACACAAATGGACACAAGACAAAGACAATCAATTGACCAAAACTTACGCAAACTTGCCGAAACCGCAGGATTTGCAGACATCTATACGCAAGACTATAGCGGATATTTTAAGGACATTAAAGATTATATATATCTAAACGGTGAAAAATACCGTCCCCAAGATATATCACCTATCAATATTTTTAGCTTTGTTACACTTAAGAATGAAATTCTTGATTTTCTAGGATGTTCCTACTACATCTTAGAAAAACTGACTATTTTATACGCAATGTTTAACTTTATTGGATTTCTTTTTTCACTCTTAAAAGGAATCTATAACACATGTGCTATACACACACAAGTCAATAGACAAGCAAGTGTAGCACGCATACTATTTGCAGGATTTTTTGGAATATTTTCTACATCTATAAACAAAATTCTTTTAGACGCACAAATAAAAGAATATAACACAAAAATAGCAACAAGACAGAACACATACGACGAAGAACATAACAATGCAGACACAACACCAACAGCACCACAGTTACCACCCCTACCACATAACCATCCATTATCCCTAGTCCCACGTAATTTTCGAAATTTAGCCATAACACATAATAATTTTAGACCAACCATATCACAAAGTCCCATCCAACATATAATGCCACACCACTCACAAGATGAAAATACTTATGAACAAATTATAGAACAACCCCATACCACCGCTTTTCAGTCTCAAAATAATAATTTTTTTAGCCCACGATGAGCCGACAACTTGGATCCCTACACCGATCAAATTCCCACCCAACCAACCTCACCACTCCAATCCCAATAATACCACTTTTTGCTTTTCCGCCACCCGATTTCCCATCCAGTAATGTAACATCCGGCATGAATTCCGATACTAATTCACACATCTCAGTTTTATACTCCATCTCACAACTCAATAACCCGAATATTGAAACCCCCGATGAATTTGCCGACTCTGAAGCATCTCCATCAAATAATTTTCACACCAATTCCTTAAATTTTTCCCAACCCCCTTTTCAACCCATACTACCAAATAACCCTGACCCAACCAATTCTACACCATCTTATGCTTCCCAAGTCACTCCAACCTACTCCTCACTTCACTCAGACCAATCATCTCATTCTCCAGACACACCCCGAATCTCCCCAGAACTAGATAATTTCATTACCCTACAACAACAACCCTATCACCTTGACACCCCAACCATAAACCAAATCTCATCCACAATAGATTCATCCAACCCTCCTACCCCTACACCCTCTTCAATTTATACTGAATCATTAGCACCATCATCCACAACTACTGAATCTTCACTCAGCACTAATAGAGCTTACCGCACTTTTAAAAGGAAGTTCCCCAACCATCCTTTCCCAGCGAAACCAGGAACAGCCCGTGAATATATCAACCATCCACAACACACTAACACAAAAGAATTTTTAGCTATCACCTTACCCTCATTTCCACAATACACCTTAAACACCCCTCATGACACTAACGAGACACGTAACTTTGTAGACGAATACGTTTTAATGCCTACCCTTCCTTGGACCTCATATTATCATTTTACAAATCCCCTTTGCTTACCTTTATCTAACACTCATATCGATATAGAACGAAATAAGGACATGCTATATCGACTCACTACAACACTAACACCTAGACAATTTACTTACATTGGATATAAAAAATCACTAAAAACACACACTGCACCCCGAGCTAATGAATATACACTAGAGTATTACGATCATAACGTCATCAGAACTAACCAAGATCAATTCTTAGACGACGATCGCTTCGCTAACCCACAAATCACCGAGAAATTTTTCATTAAAACACCATATGTATTTACACTAAATATCTTCGATCGCAAGTTTGACCACATTATTTCAGAAGCACTAACAGACACGCAAGCCTACGAAAGTTTTAAAGAACGCTTCCAAATATTTTCACTAACCTTTCATTTCCTTGCACCACATGAAAGAGATTTGCACTGCTCACACGATATTATGTTGCGCACTAAACAAACACACACATATACTTATTATCGTTTCATCCAAAATCACTTTGACCTACACACTCCCTCCAGACAACCACACCATCGTTTTCAATTCATCAATTCCAAATACACCTCACCATTCTTTCTTAACTTCACATATTGCATTAAAGATACTAACCTTCATGGTATTCTTCGAAATTATGATCCCATAACCCAAATGTATATCTTTTGTCCCATCACCAAGACCTTCAACGCAGAAGAATCCCGACCCTTCCTCATCCGACACGAGTTTGTACAACCTATAGAGATCCCCATTTTAGAATTCATCCATAACACTAAATTCAACCACAAATTATATAATCTAATCCAAAACACACCTTATGAATTTGCAGTTGGCACTGAAGAACTAACCACCATTAAGGCACTTCAATTGCTTTGGCCACTGCTTCAAACTAAAAATATCATCCGCATCTTAGCCAAATTACTAACAACTTCAGATCTCATCCACGACACCTTCCCCCACGGTTTCTTCCCCGACGACTAACAGGTAAGTATGAATTATACATATTACTAACTAATTTAAATATTAGAAACTCACCATTCTTTATCCATGTTTTCTTTAGAATTTTAGCCTTCATCCTAGATCATCTGAAAAATTCACAAAAGAAAAATAAAAAATAGCAAACTTCTTCAAAACTGTTTAAAACCCTATTAAATTTTTGCACCAACAATTAAATAAATATAATACCAATGCAGTAAATTAATTTATAAATTTTTCCCCCACAAGCAGTAAATCTAATAATGATGAAAATTTGTAACTTAATTTTCCCCAACAACTAGCAGTAAAGATAAAATTCTATGTAGTAAATTAATAAGATGCAAATACAGTACTAACCTTTTGCTATTTTCATTCACTCGCACAAGAATTCTATCCAAACTCGCACAGCTCGCCCACGAAGAATTGTTTAAAATAATGAATTTCAGTTTCAAGCTTTCACACTCGATAACTCTAACACAAGATAACACGTTTCAAACTTTCCTTTAACCCGGTTGGAAAGGAATTATATACTAAACAAAACTAACCAATGCAGCTTACTAAACACCACAACACATAGCATAACAGCATGACTAAGAAAAGGAAACCAACGGTACCCAAACCGGATTAACCCAGTTTAAAACTGGATAAATTATTCTTTTGAAGACTATTATAAAGTCTAAGAAAGAAATAATAAAACACAAAAAAGTCGAAAGGCAAACCCATACCACAAACAATTTGATTTTTGAAAAAAGGACACAACCAACAAAACATAAGAAAAACCACAACAAACCCAACATAAAACGTTGTCACATAACAGGACCTCTCACAAAAAACGCATGCAATCATACTCCCACTCCTGGCCTAACCCACCAGGAAGGACGTCCTGAGCATGCTCTATAGCCGGCCTAACCCACCGTGCTACATCCACGCTTTGTGACCACACTCCTATTTTTAATAAGAGCTACTCAAGGGTGAGTAACTCTTCAAAATAACTGAACTAAAACAAAAAGCTTTTGTGAAAACAACTAACTAAAATCATAATTAAAAAATATTAAACTAATAAAAGTTTTATAAAATGTAAATTACATTATGCAATACATAGATCAGAATACAACACCAAGGACGAACATCCAAAGACAAAACGACCCTACTACACTCGAGAAAGAATGGCCAACTACAATCAATATGCCGCCCACAATCACAACTCAAAGGATTTAGAGTACGACTTGACTTCGCAGAAAAGGACTTCATTGAACTAGACCAATGACCACCTCGATGTTCAAGTATACGTACAGATCCGAGTAACCAGGCATCCCCTCCACGCACAATCTCCACGCCATTCCCAGACAAGGTCAAACACAAAGAAGTTCTCACCAATGAAACAGAAAAACCTGACATAGCCAACCATTCTGAAATCAGATTTGAGTTTGTTGCGAAAACCCAGTCGTTGTCTTGAGAAGACACAATGATTGAATCTGGGACTTCTCTAATAAGAAAACCCAGAAGAAATAAGATGTTCGCCAAATACCAGCGTCCATCATCCATCTTTTGAATTGCAGAAAGACTATTCTAAAAAACTCTGTAAAACCCGGATGGGTGGAACCTGATCTAAACTACATTTTATGATTGGATAAATTAGATATTTTACCAATGTAAAGTATTTAATATTAACCAATCATGATCCATCTAACTAACAATCCACTTATTTGTAAGTGCTGAAATTACTTGTAATTTCAGCACCAGAGAGATTTGAATTTAACTTAGAAATTAGTTGAACTCTCCCGAGTACTTCAGCAGCCGCAATAAACCAGTATACCCTAGATCTATTGAGCCTAGCAGAGACTAGTTAAACAACCTGAGACTAGACAGTATAAGAGTAAGATTAGGATCGGTATTAGACTAAGAAGTTGCACGAACCTATCCGGCCGAAAATAAGATAGCGTGACGAGCAGACGGTGTACCCTATCCGAAATTACTCTATGAGTTATACCCATCGGTTCTAACTCAATTAGACAAGGGTGTTTAGGTCATCATTTTACTTTTCAGCGGATTTTTGTGCAACGGGTTGCATCAAAAACGAACAGAGAGGGGGCGGCAGCCAGTAGCTATGCTTTGGGTGGATATAATTTCCTATTTCAAAAAAAACCAAATATTTTTTTTGTCTTTTTTTTCGCCTCCTTCAAATTCTTTCGAAGGGCAAATCATTGCATTTCTTTTCTCTCGTTAAATAATTGCATTACTTTTCTCTCGTTAAATAATTGCATTGCTTTTCTCTCGTTAAATAATTGCATTAATTTTTAGGCTGTCCACTTCGGTGGTGCTTACCTCAGACTTTAGCATGAACATAATGACATAATTGATTCTATTTTTGCCGCAGAAATGTTTAATTTGTTTTAATTTAACTTCTCCATCTTACCTGTTGAAAAACTAGCTTCAGTTGATTGGTCACTGGCCAGCACACAAGAGCCCCCCATTTTGGCACAAGGAGCACCCGCACAGTTGAAGTAGGAGATAATAGACACTGTGTAGTCATCCGCCGGCTGCAGACCTCTGTAAACCACAACGACAACAACATAAGTGGATTCGAGCGAGTTTCTACTTTTTCTAATATTCTACTGGGGGGCACTCCCACAAAGCATTAAAAAGATTCTGTTTTAAGAAAAAATGTTGACCAAAAATTCGCGTTTTTTTCGGCGCGCGCTCCCCCCTCAAAATTACTATATTTTGGCGCCAAAGTCGCCTTTAAAAAAGTTTTAAGTTCCGTCATCAAAAATGGATATCTCAAAATAGTGCGAAGTGGGTGGACTCTTTGGGTCGGCAGGGGGTCGAATCCCTAAGGGGGGACGTCCACCCCACCCCTAAATCCGCTGGTGCTAATGAATCATCCCTCTCCACTATAAATAACTTATAACCACAAGTAATTCATCGATATTAGTTGAGGTATAAGTTTACTTTTTTGATCGTTTATTCGGGCCAATCGTTTAAACTAGGTTTTTTCACAAGACTTATTATATTAACTTGTACCGGGTTGAGTGAAATATCATATTAAAGCTCTTTCAGTCGTGATTTCAAAAAAAAGCTTAGAAAATTATCCGAATGACATGATGAAAAACGGTTTGAACTTTTCGAGTTTCAATATACTTTCCAGTAAATAAAGTAATCGATCAAAGTTGAAGATATGAAAATGAGTTATTTAGGAAATGAAAACTTGATACTTTGGTTATGCTAAATTGTCCGACGATAGACAGAAATTTAACCAAAGAAAGTTTTTTCTCTGTGTTTTCACTTTTTTGCCAACATTTCTTAAGATCATCAATTCACTTGTATACATGCAGGAGCGGATTTAGGGGAGGGGGGAGCGGACGCCCCCTCTCAGGGATTCGACATCCTGCCGACCCAAAGGGTCCCCCTTTGGTACTTTTTAAGAAATCCATTTTTGGCCTACCGACTCTAAAATTTTTCTAACATGGCCTTTGGCGCCAATATCAACTATTTTTTGAGGGGGAGCGCGCGCCAAAAAAACGCGATTTTTTTGTCAAAATTTTTCAAAAAGTGCCCAAAAACGGCTTTTTTGACTGTTTTTTAAAAATTTGCCTGCGGCGCACAAAATTTTTCCAAAATAGGGGCAAAACAATGCTTTGGGAGAGCTCGAAAAATCAATTTGGTCGACCTAAAAAAAGTCGTCAAAATTTTCGAAAATTTTTTGAAAATCCGCCCCCCCCCCCCCTAGAGAGAATGCTAGATCCGCCCCTGCACAAAAATGAAAACAAATCCATTAAAATCAATTAAAAATAGATTAAAAAAATACTATTTTTCGAAGCAACAAAATCCTTTTTTCATCCATTATAATCGATTTTTTTTTCACTTTTGTGGACGCACTGACAATGAAACTAATTATAACCAATTTTTTTTTCCACTTTACTGAGATGCGATTTTCAACGCACATAAAGTCTTTTCTACATTTTAAACGAAAGTTGGTTACGTTGGTTACTTCCTACTTGTTGGGGGGTGGGTTCAGATGGGGGGTTGTTCAGGTGGGGGTGCTCAGGTGGGGGGGGGGGGGGGTTTGACGGGGGGTTTGACGGGGGGGTTTGACGGGGGGGGTTGTTCAGTGGGGTGGGGGGATATTCAGGTGGGGATGGGGAGGGGATTCACGTGGGGGAGTGGGTGGGTTCCGGTTGGGGTGGGGGGATTCACGTGGGGGAGGGGTGAGTTCATGCGGGGGGATTCACTTGGAGGAGGGGGTGGGTTCAGGTGGGGGGATTCACGTGAGGGAGGGGTGAGTTCAGGTAGGGGGGTTGTTCAGGTGGGGGAGGTGTTCAGTGGGGGTGGGGGATATTCAGGTGGGGGTGGGGGGATATTCAGGTGGGGGTCGGGGTGGGTTCCGGTTGGGGGTGGGGGATTCACGTGGGGGAGGGGGTGGGTTCAGGTGGGGGGATTCACGTGGAGGAGGGGTGGGTTCAGGTGAAGGAGGGGTTCAGTGGGCGGGGGGAGGGGAGGGGAGCAAAAGAGCAAATGTTATGGGGATTGAATGGAACAAAGGGCAAACGTTGGGGAGGGGGAGAGCTTAACGGAATCTTTTTGCAATTTGAGTTAAGGTTTTGAAAATGATTAGGCGATTAAGGCGTACACTGGCTTTGCAAAATTTCCGCATAACCCGTTTGACAAAAGGAAGAAATTTTAGCAAAATTTTGCTCGACGAGCGAAACAAAAATAAAGTGGAAAAAAAATACATTTTAACGTGATTTCCTACTTATTATAAAATCCATTATAATGGATCCGAAATGAATTATAATGCATTTTTTCATGGCGAGAAAAAAAGGATTTAAATACATTTTTAGTCCAGTTTTGTTGTTTGAACGTAACATGGGAACCGATTATATTTACAACATTGATTGAAGACCACGAAAATCCATTATAGTCGATTTGTTTTCACTTTTCTCAAATGCGGGTTGGCAAAAAAAATCTAATTTTTTGCGGAATTTTTTCTGGTGTCAATTGTGCTTTTCTCAATAATTTTGCTTGTTTCCTGACTCCTTTTAATTTATTTGTGGAGTTTTTTTCCTAAAATCATGTGCAAAAACGACACTTATTTAAAAAAAGTTTATCTCAAAATTTTTTTCAAGAATTTGGTCAGAACATTCTGTGCTTTTTGCACATCAAAAACTTGCCCTTGCTTTTAACACTTCAATGCCTACCGTGGATTTAACACTTCAATGCCTACTCTGGTACCTTTTGCGCAAGGCCCTAACAGGAGTTTTCCCTCTGACAACACTAGCCATGCCATGTTCACAATGGGTATCTCCAACTAAGTGCAAATATAAAGACCAAAGGCTTTCATTTAATTATCCCTCCCGTGGATAGGGGAAGCCCGTTTCGTGGGTCGCTCATTCACTCCAAGAGTCTGAAATCGACCTCTTAGCTGTTATGGTAATGCAAATCGTTTATTAGGGGTCATTATGGGCCAAAAACCAACGCAGATGAACTAATTGACAATCCCGTTCTTTCATATTGTTTAGGAGAGCTACTTCCCATGCGGCGCTCCTATTACTGTCGTTTTCATCTGGGAGTATATTTTTTTATTCTAGATGAAATTTTATAGATGGATTATTCAGTAAACCAAGCTGAACCCAAGGTTCGCCAATTCCAGTTTATTTGGTTTCACTACTTCAATGTTCCAATGCAAAACTATAACCTTTTCAGCCTATGTTTATGAAAGAAGGGTTCCATGGGGTCTGGGGTTCCAAAGTTAAGCTTCCCTCAACTATGACAGAGTAGATTTTGATACCATTCCAACCGCTAGCTACCCATACCATGAGGTCTATTTGCGCTTCAGGGAACCGTTATCATTTGAGACAGGGGGTCCGAGGGTTCAGATTTTTGCATACCCGGGTCAAATCATCTCTAGTATCAGCTCTATGAGTTTCATAAATTTAACTTCCTTAGTTTTCACTTGAGGCAGGGGGTTATCAATATTGGTAGCGTCTTATCAAATTCACAAACGGAGGGACTAGGTCTTTCAAGATTCGAACCCATTTTGGACTCGACCGTTTGTGCATATTCTACTTGTCGTAACTGTTATTGAATACCAACCTATGTACTACTCAGTATTCTTCACCTTCATTATAATGCATGCTTTTTTAAGGTAAAACTCTCAACAGAAATCTGAGTTTGGCGAAATGGTGTTAGGATCACCAATCCTACACACCATAATTGATTTTCTTATAAAGTTTTTCTAAAACGTTTACAAGAGTTCTTAAAAACCCTGATTAGAATTGGAGTTCTGCTAAGACCCGAGTACTTGTAGCGTAAACGCAACTTTAGCCGGGTAATATCTCCTCTAGATTGCTCTAAAATGTTTGTGGACCTTGAGAAGGGGCAAGGGCTCAAAACAATTGTTCAGTTTTTTCAACAGTGAGTTTTGTGAAGCTGCTATTAGGGTTTCCTTTTCAGTTGAAGCTCTGAGGTTTCTGCCCTAATGCAAGCATTTTATCACAAGTAGTCAGCGAAAATAATCAACTTATTTGTTTTTGATACTTAACCTCGTGAAACAACTCGTTGCAAGATAAATATGATACTTGTACGAGGTGGAGGGATTAAAGGGGAAAACGAATCAAGAATTAGTTTTTTGATTGCAAATGCTAAATTTCAGGCAAAAATGAGACCAGAAAGTTGCCTCAAAATCCAAAATAGATCGCAAAATATATACAAGATTTTGCCTTTTTTATAAAGTCACGAGACAAAGAAGTCTCAACGAGCAAGCTAACTGTTTTTCTCCGTTTTGTTTTCTGAGACCGATAAAGATTTAGAGCTGAAAATTCAACAGATGCCATTGAAGTTATATAAAAGGAGCTAGTTTATCAGAATTTGTTTTCGAGATAATCTTGTTGTGAAAACATCCTTGCAAACGGCGGAGGAAATTCAACTTTACAGGCTCAAATTGGTTCTTCAGGAAGGTTAGGTCCTTCAATTACTTTTAAAACCACAAAAAATAGATGAAAGAACTCGGAGAAAAACTTGGTCCGTTATATAAAAAACGGTCGTATCTCTTTCACCAATACTGTCAAAATGATTGTTGGTGATCATAACAAAAAGTTGAACAAAAGTTAGAGATAAAATAACTGCTTCCTATTTAAGGATCGGAGCAGTCTTTTTTCCCAAGTTTTCGCTGAAACAGTTCTTTATTTGCTGATTTCGAACATCAGCAAAAAATTACTCAAACTTATTCAGCCATTAATTGATCATGGATCATATAACTATCTCATTTTTTTATCTGTCGTTTTTTTGCGAAAGACTTGAGGTAGTGAACCAACTTGAGCCCTTTAATTCAAATACCTTAAGGTGTTTGCAAGGATGTTGTCACAGCAAGGACATCAAAAGGTTATGTTATACTGGCTATTTTACGCCTTCAAAAAAAAATTTTCAATCAATTTTTGACCCAGCTAGCTCCTTTCAAAAGTTTCATTTAGTATTTTCAACTAGTTAAATCTACATTTAGTTTCAGATAAAACTACAAAAATTCCAGAGAAAACGACAAAATATCACAAAAGGTCGTTCATTTGCTGGTTGAAAACAACAATTTGCATCTTGCATGTCCCGTGACTGTATTTTGCTGCCAAACTGAAGGGATTTTTTTTTGTGATTTTTAAAGGCATTTCAGATTTGTAAGTTTTTTTGGACTCTGTTTTTATGTGGACTCTGTGATAAACTGAAATCTGATGTCAAAATGAGAATTGGACCAAACTTTCACGTAGATTTATTCACCGGATAGGATACTGGCAATAATTTGGCTTAAAATATAGAACGTTTCAAAGACAAAATTAGTCAAAATTAAAATGAGCAAATGATCTATTTGCTCATTTTGTTCAAAAGTGAATGATCGACCGCTGGTCGATGCATAACAGAAATTGGCAGGTATCTGATCACATTCTCCCCAAAAGTTTTGAACAATTACCATACTGGTTACAATTTGGCATTGAGTATAGAGCGTTTCAAAAAGGTGGAACAGACAAAAATAATTAAAATTAAAATAAGCAAAAAATCTAATTTAAACAATTTTTGCATGCAAAAAAAAACAAATTTCGGTCACCAAAATATTGAAATTTGCCTTAATTCTGTCTTTTCTGATTTTGTGCAACTCACCATAAAAATTATTCTCATGTGTTGCAACGTTTTGCGACCTATTACATAAATAATTCTGACATGCTGCAACTCTCTGTACATAAGTTCAGTCTTCTCACCCTATCTCTGCTGTAGTGTTGACAGTGGCATTGACCTTGGTGTTTCCGGTGTCAGTGGCACTGTAGTAGTCTATCTCGTACACATCCGGCAATCCCCCGCCGTCTGGGTGGTCCCACGACAGTTTGAAAGCCGAGTAGTTCAGACTGGAAGTTGTCAGCTCGTCCGGTGGCGCCGGACCTGAAAATCCATTACTTGTAGATTCAGATGCAAGCGTTCTTTCCTTTTCCCCTCGTCTGCGAATTGTCACTACTAACTTCTCTGTTTACATTTTCCGATTGATACAAAAACTGGGATGCTGACTAAGTAGGCTATGAAAAACGTATTTCGTTTACATAACTAACCTTGTAAAACCCTCGTTTACAACAAAGTTATGTGAGGTGAGAGAAAAGGAAAAAGGGCCAGAAACGGAAGTGTGAATTTAATTAAAAGTTGTTTTTAGACGATGTTTCTCAAGCCGACAAGTGATTTTCCGAGCTCCGACGACCCTTAATGAGCAAAACTTTTCAGTGCCACTTCAAACTTAGCGGAAAAACCGCTATTTTTGGCGGTTTTTCCGCAAAGATTTTGATCAAATATTACGTTTTGTATTGGCACGCACTTCCCCTCATTTACGCCCACCAACATGCTTTGAAGTAATTGTTCTTAGTTTCTTTTTTCTCCAGACAGATTGGAATAACGGAAACAAATAAAGCTTTTCCGATGCTTTGAATATCGGGTTAAAGATAATTTTAACTAGCAAGAGTTCAAGATGAAGCGAATAGATAGCAATGAGTTTTCTGGAGTGATGATCAAGGTCCAGCGACAATGGGGAATCAGAGAAAAGTAACTAAGCGCAATCATCGTTTTTTAAATTAACAAGAAATTAACACCAGTCCGACGGGCCTTCAATTCGAATCGAACGAAAAGTTTAGGGATATTTGTTCTTCTTTTTCACAAAACTTTTTTTCACAAAACTTATCCACGAAACTTTTTGGTCTGAAACTTTTCGGAAATCCTTTGCCTTGAAACGTTTCTTTTTGGTCTGCAAGGTCTCGACTACGGGTACTGATTTTCATACTGGTTGCTGAGAGCGGCATGTTGTTTTCTGAATCCATCGGAGATTGGCATTTGATCAAGTCTGCGTCCAGCGAGCCGTGTTCTGCCCCATCGTGCAGTTTCCAGTGACGCTCTTTCTTTCTCTCTCTCTCTCTCTCTCTCTCTCTCTCTCTTTTTTTTTCTCTCTCTCTCTCTCTTTCTGATAGACTGGTTTTTCCTCGAGGTAAATGGTTTTTGTGAGAAATTGTGATTTTCGAAACAAAGAATAGCGATTTGGCTGAAACTCTTTTCGAAGGGAGGGCACCTGATGGTCGGTTGTTTTTTAATTCTCAAAAGTCAAATTAACTTTTTGAAAGACGAGAGCAAGGTCGGTTGAAGTCTTTAGAAAGACGTAGCTAAAAACTTTGCCCTAACTGTATCTTTGAGTCTTTTTACGCAGCTGTTCGATCTATATTCCCCACTGAACGATTTTTTTTCAAGGTACAAATCAGAAGATGAGAAGCATAAGCCATGGTCGACGTTAGTTTTTAAGGAAATCTATATAAGGCGCACTAGTATTTTAAAATTGAGATAAAATAAAGTAAGCGAATGCTATTAACCATTCTTGCCGAAGAAAAAATTCACAGGATATGCTGAGAAAAAAATTTCGGTTGCGTATTACTTTCAAAATCTGAACATTAAAAGTGATTTCTCTAAGGTTCTGTAGACCAAAATACGACCAAAAATTCGAACTCATTAGAAAAGTACTTTGTTTCGTGATTAATCGAAACCGGAGATTTTCTCAATCCGTCTAAACTGGTTTTTACTCAAGTCCGCGTCCAGATACCCGTCTTTTGACCATCGTGTAGTTCCGAGTTTTCTGGAGTTCATGAGTTTTCTGGAGTGATGATCAAGATCCAGCGACAATGGGGAATCAGAGAAAAGTAACTGAGCGCAATCATCGTTTTTTAAATTAACACAAAATTAACACCAGTCCGACGGGCCTTCAATTCGAATCGAACGAAAAGTTTAGGGAATTTGTCCTTCTTTTTCACAAAACTTTTTTTCACAAAACTTATCCACGAAACTTTTTGGTCTGAAACTTTTCGGAAATCCTTTGCCTTGAAATGTTTCTTTTTGGTCTGCAAGGTCTCGACTACGGGTACTGATTTTCATACTGGTTGCTGAGAGCGGCATGTTGTTTTCTGAATCCATCGGAGATTGGCATTTGATCAAGTCTGCGTCCAGCGAGCCGTGTTCTGCCCCATCGTGCAGTTTCCAGTGACGCTCTTTCTTTCTCTCTCTCTCTCTCTCTCTTTTTTTCTCTCTCTCTCTCTTTCTGATAGACTGGTTTTTCCTCGAGGTAAATGGTTTTAGTGAGAAATTGTGATTTTCGAAACAAAGAATAGCGATTTGGCTGAAACTCTTTTCGAAGGGAGGGCACCTGATGGTCGGTTGTTTTTTAATTCTCAAAAGTCAAATTAACTTTTTGAAAGACGAGAGCAAGGTCGGTTGAAGTCTTTAGAAAGACGTAGCTAAAAACTTTGCCCTAACTGTATCTTTGAGTCTTTTTACGCAGCTGTTCGATCTATATTCCCCACTGAACGATTTTTTTTCAAGGTACAAATCAGAAGATGAGAAGCATAAGCCATGGTCGACGTTACTATTTAAGGAAATCTATATAAGGCGCACTAGTATTTTAAAATTGAGATAAAATAAAGTAAGCGAATGCTATTAACCATTCTTGCCGAAGAAAAAATTCACAGGATATGTTGAGAAAAAAATTTCGGTTGCGTATTACTTTCAAAATCTGAACATTAAAAGTGATTTCTCTAAGGTTCTGTAGACCAAAATACGACCAAAAATTCGAATTCATTAGAAAAGTACTTTGTTTCGTGGTTAATCGAAACCGGAGATTTTCTCAATCCGTCTAAACTGGTTTTTACTCAAGTCCGCGTCCAGATACCCGTCTTTTGACCATCGTGTAGTTCCGAGTTATACGCTCTGTTTGCTGATAGAATGGATATTCCTCAATCCTAGTGCTTATCGTAGGAGATCGAATTAGTGTTAGTGGTTCAATTTTGCCATTGAGTGTTAGCGGCTCAATAAGAAAACTTTTAGAAATGAGTGCAATCGATGGGCGGTGTTTTGTAATTCTTTCAAGAACGGATCAAATAGTTTGAAATACATGGCTAAAAACTCTGCGGTAACTGTATATACAACTCTTTCTACAAGTACATTCAACCTATGAACTGCCACTCTAAAAAAAATATCAAGATCTAGAATCAATATATAAGAAACTTGACCCATGGTCAACTCCAATTCACCTAAGAAATCCATATAAGTGACAGAACGGAAAATAGGCGAGTAGTTTCAGCTACCCTTGTCGGGAGAAAAAAGTAAAATGAATAAAACCTAAAAAGATATATTTCTTCGTTCCCCAGTCCAATGGTCCGGAAACACTAAGTTCATTTCTTCGTTAGAGAACAAATCTGAAATTTTTAATCATTTGAGCTTTTCGCTATAGTACTTTGATATTGTGCTGAGACATGACTTGCTCTTGGTGAATCTTCCTATAAAAGTGTGACCTGACATGACTTGAGTTAACTTATTGCGATTAACCAAATCGCAGCTTGTTAGAACATGGGGTCTTTCTGAATGTTGCTAAGACTTTCCTATTCTTATTCAACAGACAAAGTTTCTTTCACTCGTTAATAGGTATATTATTTCAAATATAGAGGACACACATCAATTTTATATCAAGAGACATTGGGGTATGGATTGATAGTTATCGAGATAGAGATTAGAGATTTTGGTTATTAGGATGGTTGGGGGTCTCAGTATGAGAGTGGTTGTGAGATTTGAGATTTTGAGAAAGTGATGAAGTGATATTTGGTATATTTTCGCTTGGCTTTTATACCGTAGATTTTGATATTTTCAACATTCCATCTGTTGGTTAAACCAATCAGAAAAAACCAACACATGCTGTAATGTTTGCTTTTGGTGATATTTTATCAACCGAGCAAACACGTAATTTCAAGACAAAAGTTTAAGAATTATGTTTCTGATTTTTCAATTCAGAACATCCAACCATCCTATAGGGTGATTGTTAAACGGCGATTTCCGTTGACAAAAATTTAAAAGCATAATATAATTAACAAAACATCAAAAAAGTTTTAATAGAGTTTGCGTAAAGTTTTTATTCTGATTTTGATAGTTTGTTCGTAAAGTGGCGGCTTGTAGTGTAGTCGGTTGATGAATGGCTGCTTGTAGTCGGTTGAAGAATGGCTGCTTGTAGTCGGTTGAAGAATGGCTGCTTGTAGTGTATGTGCATGTAGAGTAGAGCAGTGGTGGCGGCCAAATCACAGCTGGATACTTTTGAGAAATATAACATCAAATACAATTTTTCAAATTTGGTTTAGCGAATATACTTATCAGCAATACTGGACTATAATTGTAGAAGCATACTAAAAAATAAAAGGACGGAGGTTAATAGATAATCTTGAAACTAATAGTTTCCTTCCACCTGGGTTTTTAGGCTCAGATATTTATTGCTGAGATCCTTATTTTTTTCCCGGAGCACTGTTATGGTTTTCTGCATTTGGTTGATGCGATTTAAGTCGTTTATGTAATTCTTTTGCACTTGATCCGTGTAGGAGTCAAGGATTGGAGTCTGCATTTGGGCGGTTATAAAAGCTGCCGGAACACAAATATGTTGATGGGGGAGTTGCGGATTAACCAGACGGTATGCACCGTTACCATTTTGGTAAGGGTGATAGGTGTCTATCTTAAATCGGTTAATAAAGGGAGAGAGCGCATAAATTAGACTGGTGTCAAAATTTGGTGGTTTCCTGGGGCTGAGGTTTTGTTATTTTTTGACTTGAATTGCGATTTTTGGTTCAAGTTCTAGAGAGTTTGCGGATTGGTGAACTATTACAGTGTCAGATTCTAGGTTTTGCCTAGTTGAAGAAGAGGGAAGAATTTTGAAAGGTCGGACAATTGCTTTTTACTTTTGAATGCATTTAGAAATTTTCACTTTTGGAATTTTGAAATTGGTATTCAATTTTGGTTGATTAATCGGGTTGATTATTTTGGATGGCATTTCTATAGGGTCATTTAGAGACAGAAGGTTTTCGAAATGGAGCAAGTCTTCTTCAAGTGGA